GATATAATCTTCAAATAGATTGGATTTGTTGTAATCTTGATTTTTTTTATAGTTTAGCCCAAGGTCTTGCTAGGCAAGTAGAAATCCATAAGTCTAGTACATCTAAACCCTTATTGATAGGTCTAAGAGCTTTTATACATGCTGCAAATGAAGGGCCATCTTTTGCAATATATGCCATGTCCATTGTTGATGGTGAGAAGATATCAAATGTTATTCCTAGCGAATATCAAGATTTTCAAGATGTTTTTGAAAAGAAGAATATAGATATTTTCGTAGAACATCATCTTTATGATTGTTGCATCAATCTTCAAGAAAGACCTTAATCACAATTTGGACCAATCTATAGCCTATCACAAAATAAGCTGGTTGTACTCAAAGTGTACATTGATGAGAACTTGGCTAAGAATTTTATATGTTATTCTAAACTTCTAATTGGTGCTCTTATCTTATTTGTGAAGAAAAAAAGTGGATTTTTGCGGATGTCTATGGATTATTGAGGATTTAATAAGATCACCATCAAAAATAGGTATCATCTACCTTTGATTTTAGGACTTCTTAATTAATTAAATCAAACAAAGATCTATACAAAAATAGATCTATGAAGAGCATGTAACTTAGTCTATATCAAAAAAAAAGATGAATGGAAGAATACTTTCTGAATTAAGTATGGACATTTTGAATATTATGTCATTCTTTTTGGACTCATGAATGCACCAACTACTTTTCAACATCTAATGAATGATGTCTTTTATGAATTTCTTGATGATTTTGTTTTTTATTATTTGGACAATATTTTAATCTATTCTAAGAATATATAAGAAGATGAAGTTTACATTTGTCATGTTTTATAAAAACTAAGAGATGCAAGATTATATGTAAAGATAGAAAAGTGTGTATTCTACACTACTAAAGTTGACTTTTTGGGGTACATCATTTTCAATGAAGGTCTTATAATGGATCCAAAAAAGGTCCAAACTATCATAGATTAGAAGATTCTAAGAATAATAAGAGATGTGCAATGCTTTTTGAGCTTTGCCAATTACTACCAAATCTTTATGAAGAATTTTTCTTAAGTTGCAACTTTACTTACACGTTTGACTTGTAAAGTTAAACTTAAGTAGAATAAAGAAATCAAACATCATTTATTGCTTTAAAGAAAGAATTTACTTCTACACCAAGTTTCTATCATGTCAACTTTTCTAAGATGTTTTTTATGCAAACAAATGCATCAAGCTTTGCTTTAGATGCAGTATTGTCACAAATGGGAATAAATGACAAACTCCATCCAGTAACTTTTCATTCTAAGAAATTTTTAATAGCCAAGATTAATTATGAGATCCACAATAGAGAACTTCTTATAATTATAGATTCATTTTAAGAATGGCATCATTATCTAAAAGGCACTTCAAGTCTAATCACAGTATATACAGATCAAAAGAACCTCAAGTATTTTATATGAGCTTGTGATTTAAATCATCGCCAAACTTGTTGAAGCATGTCATTATCAAAATCTTATATTGATCTGGAAAACAATAAGGTTTATCAAATATATTTTTTAGATATTCTTACCTTGTATCAAAATAAGGACACGTATCTTTTGAACAACAAAAAATAATCCTCTTCAAGCCAAAGTATTTTCATCTTTGAGCAATAAAATCAACATTGACTATTGATTTGATCTTTGTCAAATAAATTCAATCAAGTATGTCCTTTAATCTCCTTGTTCATAATATCAAAAATCTTTCTTCTAAGTCTTAAGATATTTCAAAGTTTGAATTTAAGAACAACCTACTCTATTTCAAAGGACGCCTATATGTTCCAAAAGAAAAAACATATTTACGTGTTCTTTAAGCACATTACGACTTTCTAGCAACAAGACATTTTCGATACAACAAGACTTTATAGCTTATATTCAAAGATTTTTGGTGGCCACAAATGTGGAAGGTGATAAAAAACTTTGTTCAATCATGTGACATTTATTCAAAATCAAAAACTCCTCGTCATCAATCCTATGAACTTCTCCAATCATTGCTTATATCCAAACAACCATAGTCTTTCATTTCTATGGATTTTATTATAGGTCTTTTAAGTTCAAATTCATATGATTCTATATTTGTAATTATAGATCGCTTCATCAAAATGGCACATTTGTACCATATACAAAGTCTATTTCAGGTGAAGAAATAGCTAAGTTCTTCATTGAGAATATCTATTTGTATCATAGATTGCTAAAGGATATTATATTGGATAGGAGGACTCAATTTGTATCAAGATTTTGGAGAACCCTATTTAAGATTTTAAAGGTAGATATAAAGCTTTTTTTGGCTTTTCATCTTCAAACTAATGGACAAACAGAATGAGTGAATCAAGTTTTGGAGCAATATTTGAGGTGTACCATCAACTATCATCAAGATGATTGGACAACTTTTTTGTCATTGGCAGAGTTTGCATACAATAATTTGGTACATTCTTTTATTCAAAAAATACCTTTCTTTGCCAATTATGGTTATCATCCATGACTTCATACTTTTGACTTTTCAAAAGTTGATAATTGTGTGGCAGAAGATTTAGCAAATTGTTTATTAGAGCTACATATAACAATGAAGATACAATTAAAGGAAGCTTATGGACAACAAAGGACAAACACAAATGCCTATTGCAAGGAGCAACCACAATTCAATGTTGGTGACAAGATATGATTACTTTGTCGTAATATCAAGACTACTTGTCTTTGTGATAAATTAGACTATTATAAATTTAAAAAAAATTCCTATTTGTGAACAAATCAATAATGTTGCTTATTAATTACATCTATCGAAGGCTATGAAGATCCACACTATATTTCATATATTTCTTTTTGAGCCATATAAGACAATGAATATTTTGAGAAGAATACAAATGCCACTACCTCTTATAAAAGTGAATAATGATCAAGAGTTTGAAGTGGAAGAAATCTCAGATTCAAGAAAGTACCAAAATAAATTAAAATGTCTTGTTCATTAGCATGGATATGATATTAGTGAACGCACATGGGAGCTAGTAAAGAATCTTGCAAATGCACCAAAGAATGTTGAGGCCTTTCATCGACAACATCCATCAAAACCAAGATGAAAAATTATAAGATCCATGAAAGATGATGATCGCTCCTTGTGGAACTTGTCTCTAGAAAGGGAGGTAATATCACAAACATACACAGGTATTCTAGTAAATACCTTTATGATTAGGTAGGAGCATGTAAAAATAGATAAATTTTATAAGATCTTTTAAAAAAACTTCTTAAAAGCTTCATACATGCTGCTTTGATTTTACATATATTTGCAATTGATTGGTAGGTTAGAAACTTGGTCAACAAGTTAATCACGTGTTGGTAGCTTGCGGAACAAGCTAACTATATAGTATACATATAAAAAACTTACATTGTAAGTTAAGATATGTATCTTACAAAGTCAACATGTTTTGGAGGTCTTATAGGACATCACTACATAGCTCTTAGTTAAGAGTATATATGGAGGCAAGAAAGAAGCCTTCTTCACTCTTCTGAGCACCTTTCTAATCCTTAGTCTTATTCTAAGACTTTCTAATCTTCTTGATTTTTGCAATATCTATTTTAGTTCAATATTATATCATCTTTGAGTGACTTTCTAGTTCCTTCGAGTGATACATGAGTGTATTAAGGATTTTCTTTCCTTGAAATTCATATCCTTAACAAGTATTCATAAATTTGGTTGTATTGTGAAGAAATATTGTAACAAAGGAAGCATTTACATCTTAAAAGTGTCTTGATAATGCAATTATTAATCCACAATCTGCCATTGACTAACATAATTTCGAGCTAATACATGTTATAATCAATAATTATTTATATTAATAATCTTCAAAAATATCATAAATTAAACTCCAAAAATTACTTGCATATATGTGTACACATACATAATAAAAAGTATAATAATTGACAAACAATACTTGACACTAATACCATAAATAATTGTGTTTGATTTTGCAAATCTTGGTTCAAGTCTATGCATGTAATGACAAGTGCAACAAATTATCTCCAACTTAATGTATTGCAATTTCCAACATTCTATTTTTGATGAGTCTGAATTAAAATTTCAAAATTTTCTTCATGAGAAAAGATCAATTAAAGGCAACTAATCCTTGTATTGTTGTTGAAAGAAGGGTGCTAATCATTGTTGCATTCTTTCTTTTACATTTCTTAACTTTCTAAAAAAAACAACACATCTAAAATGCTAACACACACACATATATATATATATATATATATATATATTCTTAAATAGAAATTGATGAATGCAACGAAAGAGCTGCATATGTTTTAGAAAAAAACAGTCTCACATGCTACAAAAGATATGTATGTTTTACAAACATTTCCTTAGAGGGTGGTTAAGAAACTGGTTAAAAGGGTTAGTGTTTAGGATTAAAAGGAGCACGAGCGATGAAAAGCGCGGCCGCTGCATCATCGGGCTACGATAACACAACGCAACACGAGGGGAGGGGAAACGAAGGAGGCTGTTCCTGCTTGTGCAAATGGGATGCCATGAATAGCAGATACTACTGCTGCTACTGCAGCTCTCGCCGGAGATCCTCGTGCCATGCGCAGCTCCCGAGTGGTGATTGGCTCCCAATTTGGAAGTGTTCGATTGGTGAGGGCGATCTCGGTTCTCGATCCGCATGGAGGCCAATCGGAGATCAAGTGACGGTCACGATGATCGTGTTGAGCAGCAGCTCTCGACTTTCACTAAATTACTGGCACCATTGCTGGTGGAGCTTGACGAAGTGGGGCCAACTTGTCAGCACCCCGAGGCATGTCGTTCAAGCCAGCTCCCATCTCGAGCAATTCTCTGACGAGGACGACGACGACAACGACGATACTTCAACCACGACGACGACAATTACGCACTGTCCAGGATCATCGTCCGCACTGCGCTAACACAATGCCTGAGTGCATCAATTGTGCCTCGTAAGTAATGGTCGAGTGTTTGCGTGGGATGGAGTTACGCTCATCTGTCGACGCTTGCACGAGACATTATCTCTTTCCTCCATAAACTCGCCTTTTCTACATCTTCTGTAAGCTTTCTGGTGTGCGTGTTCGGAGGCGAGCTGGACAGGTTGCCACTTCTGTGCCAAGCGCCGCCCCTGTGTCCTGCGGACAAGTGTGAGCAGATCGTTATGTTTTTACCTTTTTTCTAGTATCCGGCGTGCAAGTGTTGTTTTCGAGTGTAAATAGATCGTTCCACGATATTGCCACGTTTTCCCCCCCCCCAGACGTCTAGCTAGAATCCTGGTGCGCGTTGGGAAGGTAGAGCACACAGTTAGAGGGTGAACTTTGCCCAAACGGCGTGGCTTGTTGAGTCGAGTACTTCGGTTTCGCACTCGCAAATTCTATCTGTGCGTGTGTAAGAAGCTTCATCCCACGAATTGTAACCATCAGGAGCGTGAGAGTTCGTTGGGCGCCCGGGCTTCGCGTCGTCTTGTCGGGAATCCAACTAGGAAATGCGCACAGAACCGGGAGAATTTTCGTCCAGGGCTCCCTGATAGTAGGGTGTGTAATGTGGGATAGCTGGTTTAACAGTAAAGGACGAGGAAAGACAGCTTGACGAAAGGAGGTGAGTTTGTTTCGACGCTTTGAATGTTTTTCTACTCTTGCTAACAAGACATATATCTTGTCACGTGTGGTGTTCGGGAGGGTAGGATTAATTGCAGACTGTCGCCCTTCTACCCTTCTGGTTTTATTTTTTCCTCTAAAAATTTAGTTCGAGGAATAGCAAACCTTAGTTTTACAGCTTCTAAGAGATGTCTGTAGCTTAAGTAGTGGAATGGGTTTTCATGCTTTATTTTGAGGATTCGTTGCGTTCCTGCGGTGCATTCAAAAGTACAGTGCTAGATTGAGTGTAGTGATTCGCTGGTTTTGGAGGGATAGCAGCTTCGAGTCGACGTTTCTAGCAGATCCTCTGTTTTTGCTTGCGCAAGTTGCGCGCATTCTTGGTCACGCTTGGTTTGAAGGGGATGTCGGGTCGAAACTAAGAAAGGAAAGAAAACGAGCACCTCTACTGATAATAAGACTTTGGGTTTCAAATTCGAAGCCCCAGTTTTTTATTTGAGATTCCTATAAGACTTCTCTTCTAGTTTATTCTGAAGGAGTCTGCACTTTTGAGTGAAGTGAAAGAAATCCTTCAGTTACTACTTCAGAATGTTGTGCGTCCTTATTTTCCTTGAATATAGGGCCATAATTATTGCCAGAGATTTACCACCTATTTTCTACATTTGCAAGCAACGAGGACATACTCTATGATATTTCAGGAATGGCCTGTGAGAAGACCCCACGTTTGGAGCATTCGAGGCTAAAAACTCTCTTTGGCCCTGACGGCACATAATATTACCGAACATTGTTCATTTCTTACTAAATTAAGCTATCCTCAATCGGCTGCATAGATGCTCAGATTCTGTAGGTAATGTATGGATGGATGTGCAAAGGCGTGGAGTCTTCATGATAATCGTAGAAGTGGAGATTGGTGCGCAGGAATTAGTATTGCATCTAGGAAAACACAATGGAGGAGCAGGATCCCGCCTCTTCAATCGACAGGAGTAAAGTAACTGCTGCTGCTTCGGGGGCTTCACGGGGGCGTAGTAAATATATTGCCGCCCCACGTTCGGAACGAAAATCTTTAGAGGTATTTGGTGGCGCGCCCGCCAGCGCTCGGTACCTTCCAGGAGCAGGAAATGCATTTGGGGGCAACTCAGTAGCTGAAGAGGAAGAGGAAACTGCAGCTGTGCCATCCCCACGCATTGATCCGCCATGGGTGGTTCCCAAGATTGGCCCCAAGCCTTCTCAAAACGTGCAGCCCGCTTCCACATTGCCTATGTCTTCGTCAGCTTCGAAGCCTGCGCCATTGCCGCAAATACCCCCCGCGGTGCCTCAGAGCTACATGTCAGAGACAACCAAGGCAAAAGCTCCTCTTCCATGGGATATCAACTTAGAGATTCCGGATTATAAGCCTAAACCTGTGATCGGTGCCGAGGAAACGAAAACAAAGCCAGTTATTAGACATCATAGAAGCTCATCGGACACCATGACCAACACCTTACCCGATCTGAAGGAAGAGAGAAAATCCGCAATTGAGAAGCTCAAGCAGCAGGTACTAGACTCTATCTCATGGTTGTGCTTGTGATTTTGAATTTTCATAGAAAATTATGAATCGATGGTTGTAGGAATCGTCTGAGAGGGGATCACTGGGACGTACAGGCCGAAGTCGACGCTAAGAGAGATATTGCAAAGAAGGCGAAAGATGATGGCGCCAGGTCACCAGATAGAAAGGAAATGAGTGATGACGTGATGAAGGGTCGCGCAGCGGAGTGGGGCTTGGTGTTGAAATCGGATGCGGAAACAGGGAAGACGCAAGGAGTGACCATTCGGAAATCCGGTGATCGTCGGTAAGGGCTCTTTTCTCTCCCGGGAGCTTTTTCCAGTACAAAGTAGTTTCTTCATAATCATATCTGGTGCAATACCAGTGGCCTGACGTAGCTGTCATGGTGAGGCAGTTCAGGGGGGAGCGAAAGCGCGGGACGGGTGTCGATGACGCTGCCTACAGTGACAGCATCCATCAGGACATCAGAGGCATCAGATGCAGGGAGCGACGCGAGCCATCCTTCCAACCTGCCGAAAGTCTCACGAGAAGTTAAGGAAGCGCTCTCCACATTCCAGCAAACGTTCGTGGTGTCAGATGCTACGCAACCAGACTTTCCTATCCTGTATGCAAGTGCGGGCTTCTTCAACATGACGGGGTACACGCCTAAAGAGGTCATCGGCCGGAATTGGTAAGCTCGCCGTTTCTTGTCCCAGGACAATCACTTTACCGCCCAGCTCAACATCGATGGACATCAATCTAACTGTGTGCGCTTGGGAGCAGCCGTTTCTTGCAAGGCGCTGGAACCGACAACGCAGACGTAGCGCGTATCCGGGAGGCACTCAAGGAAGGCAAGAGTTTCTGCGGGCGATTGCTCAACTATAAGAAGGATGGTTCCGCATTTTGGAACCTGCTCACCATAACGCCGATCAAAGACGACGACGGCAAGGTTCTAAAATTCATCGGGTTAGTTAACTTGGGCCTTGAATTGGTTCTATCTTCATTGACTGCATTCTGCCTAGTTCACCCAATTGATTTGATATTGTCGGTGATGTTTGAGGAACAGAATGCAAGTTGAGGTAAGCAAGCACACGGAGGGCAAGAAGGAGAAGTCACTGCGTCCTAATGGCCTGCCTGAATCACTCATCCGATATGACGCGAGATTGCAAGATAAGGCAACCGCGGCGGTTGGAGACTTAGTAGGAGCGTTTAAGAACCCGGTGGCGCCATCCACACCTCCGGACACTCTAAACACTGGCCCGAAATCACCGCCGTCGCTGCCGCCGGATCTTCAATTAGTCGACTCCGCAACCGAATCTAAACTAGCATCGAAATCCTCTCTTCACGACTCCACCCGACGGAGATCAACTGGCACAAACATCATGACGCGCAGCGATTCCCGCTTGTCGAACCTACCTGAGAATGGGCAACCCGCGTACCCTCGGCGGAATCGACGATCGTCTGGGTTCCTCTCCATTTTCGGGTATGCCCAATTGGCACTATGTAGATCATATCGCAGGTTTATAGTTGGCAGTGCTCATGGTTTTCTCATTCAAAATGAGTCTTCATGCAGGTTAGGAAAACCGGAGCCTAAGTCACCTGACCCTGAAATGGATCCCCAGCTGAGAATGCTGGAGGATGAGGATCGGCCGGAGAGCTTTGAGGTGGACTTGGAGAGGAGCAAGGAAATTCGACGCGGCATCGACTTGGCTACCACCTTGGAACGTATCGCGAAAAACTTTGTCATCACCGACCCTCGTCTCCCAGACAATCCGATCGTAAGTGTAGCCGCGTTCAGTCCCTTTTCCTTTGTATTCCTTAGCCTTGACATGTAAGAGTTTCGTAAAATCTGCACCAAATCTTCTCCGACCAGCATGCCTAATTCGGTGCTAGCTGCATGGTCCTGGAATGACAGATTTTCGCATCCGACGAGTTCCTGGAGTTGACAGAGTACACTCGGGAAGAAATTCTCGGCAGAAATTGCCGATTTTTACAAGGTCCTGACACAGATCTTGCTGTGGTGGATCAAATTCGCGATGCCATTGCTGCTCGTCGCGACATTACAGTGCAGCTTCTCAATTACACGAAGAGTGGTAAGTGCGACCTCCTTGTCGCCGATGATCCGTTTGGCATGGTTTCCAGCTAGTTTGAAATTTGATAAGTTTAAGAAGTTGCCTCAAGGAATGATTTTACGTTGTCAATCGTTGCAGGGAAGCCGTTCTGGAATTTGTTCCACTTGCAGGCTATGCGAGATCACGACGTGAGTCAATTATCTTCCATTTTAAATAATATTTAGCTGATAGTATGTCGTGATCATTAGCATAGAATGAATTTCTCATTTTCCTTTGATCGGCGCATGAGCAGGGAGAGTTGCAATATTTCATAGGAGTCCAACTCGATGGAAGCGAGTACCTTGAACCGGAAAGACGACGACTATCTGAAAAAACTGAGAAAGAGGGCGCTAAAGTGGTGCAAGAGACGGCGAATAACATTGATGATGCCGTGAGGGAGCTTCCCGATGCAAATTTGGTGCGATTCTCGCACCACTCTCAACAAAACCTCGGCCCTTGCTTGCTCTTTTATCCAGTTTCTATTGTAAGCAGATTACTGACTTGTTTGTATTGGCTGCATGAGTTAGAAACCGGAGGATTTATGGTCCAAGCATTCACTGCCAGTGCACCCGAAACCGCACAATAAAGTTTCGCGCGCATGGGATGCCATCCACAAAATGAAAATCAACGGACAAGGTTTGGGATTGAAGGATTTTCGTCCAATCAAGCCACTTGGATCCGGTGACACGGGAAGGTACTCTTGGTTTGCACTTGTGATCTCCTCCCCCGGCAATTGCGCTTGTGCATACTGCAGCCTTCTGATTGGAGTTGGATTCTGAGAATTATTTCGTCTGATGTGCAGCGTTCATTTGGTGGAGCTTCGTGAAACGGGGCTAGTGTTCGCCATGAAAGCCATGGATAAAAGTGTGATGATGCAGCGCAACAAGGTGCACAGAGCACGCGCGGAGCGGGATATTTTGGCTTTGATGGATCATCCGTTCCTTCCCACACTGTACTCCACCTTCCAGGTCTAATGCTTTCCTCGCTCTTGATTCCAGGTCCACCCTGATTGGTTTTTAAATTTCTTAAAATTTCGTTCGAAACCATTCGTATAGAGATGGGAAGTCTCTTACGCATCAGTGCGGTGACTGACATACTGCAGACTCAAACGCACATTTGCCTGGTCACTGATTTCTGCCCGGGTGGTGAGCTGTTCCTGCTCCTCGAGCGGCAGCCTCGAAAAGTTTTCACTGAGGATGTCGTTCGTTTCTTCGCAGCCGAAGTCGTCATCGCTCTCGAATATCTACATTGCCTTGGTACAGACTGTCACAACGTTCACCAATTAATTCATCACAGTATATCACGATTAAGCGTGACTTAGCAGCCATGGGCCGGCAATTCTTGTGCTCCCTGTGAAATAATTGGGCTTTGGCTTGTGCGCAGGCGTCGTTTACCGCGATCTGAAGCCGGAAAATGTTTTGCTCCGGGCGGATGGCCACATACAACTGACTGACTTTGATTTGTCTTTCTTAACCTCCGCAAAGCCTCGGGTGAGTTTCACGTCATTGCCTGGATTCTGGACACTATATTTTTTTCGCAGTCATTTGTCTCGTCAATCACTACTTGCATTTCTGTGACAACTCCTAAGAGAGTAATATAATGTTGGCTTTCGTGAAGCTCGTCGAACAAGATTTGCCCCCAGGCCGCCGTAGAAAGCCCAAACGTCCCCCGTCTCCGATCTTTGTTGCTGAGCCCGTTACGCCTTCAAACTCCTTCGTCGGTACTGAGGAGTATATTGCGCCCGTAAGTATATCCGTTTCTCATTTCTTTGTCTATCGTGATCGTTGCAGAACAAAGATTATATGAAGAATTTGTAAATGTAACCCCTTGGAATCGCCGCGCAGGAGATTATCACTGGACAAGGTCACAGCAGCGCCGTGGATTGGTGGGCTCTTGGTAAACACTTACCCCAGTCGTCAGTTCATCTGGTCTCTTGCGTCTCTTGCTCACTGCTTGACCCGTAAACCCTTTTCTGCTTGTGTGTTTGCTGCACTGGCAGGGATTTTAATCTACGAGATGCTTTATGGTCGAACGCCTTTCCGAGGGAAGAATCGACAGAGAACTTTTACTAACGTTCTTCAAAGGGACATTATCTTTCCTGCAAGCATTCCTGTGAGCATATCCGCACGGCAGTTGATGCGGGACCTTTTGCAACGCAATCCGCTTAAGCGGCTGGGCTCCCACCGCGGCGCCAGCGATGTGAAGAACCATCCTTTCTTTCGTGGCATCAACTGGCCGCTCCTGCGGCACACTACACCACCTCCGCTGGAAACGCCAGCCCTGCTTATTACACCAGATGTGGAGCCGACCAAAGCTGATGAAGACTTGGAATGGGACGAGGAAGAAGCCGCTCCTATTTCCACATTTCAGGAATTCTGATGAAGTGCGATGAATCTTGGTGAGTTCCACTTGCTTGATGCCAGCCCCCAATGTGACGAGCATCATTACTGCCGATGCTTTGAAGAAGTAATGAATCGTAGGGCAGTGTTCAGAGAATTAAAACCCATGTTTTAGACGAGGGTGCTTTGGTACAATTTTCATATGTTGCCCTCTTGTTGTACAGGCTGTTGTAAACAAAGGTTGTCTTCAATGATTCACAGCGTGGGGCCTGTATCCAAAAGAAAGTCGTGATGCTCAGCTTTTCTGGCTCAACAGCTTTATATGGAGCGTATTTTGAGGTTTGTGGTTGTTCCTTTCCAGCTATTACATATACCCTAAGTGGACGATCGGAATGGGCTGTAGCAGCTATCCTGTAAAAGTGTGCGTTTTTAATACCTTTCTTGTCTTATCATTGCAGCAATGGTACTGTTATCAAACTAAATGCTCATTTGTTGTCTGCTCAGAGACCCATCTGGACACTTGTGAGCTTGATTCAATCAACCAGTACCCTCATGAACGCTCCAAAACTCTTTACGTGGCTACTATCAGCAACAAAATCCGTGACAAATTTGTGGAATTGCTAAAAGTCAGTAATTTCAGCATTAGAGTAGAAAGAGCGATTGTCCACTGCCCTGCCAGCTGCTGTGTATTTTACTCTGTAGAGCGTGGAAGCTGATTCTGCTTGAATGATTGTAAGCTGTCTTCAATCCCATTGTTAATACAATTGTCTCCATTTTAATGCAGCTGGCGTAGTAAAGTATTTTAATGCAGCTGGCGTAGTTGGATACGGCTCTGTAAAAAACCTGATGTGCACTGCCTTCTTTCAAAGTCTTAGCAGCATGCTGATCTAACTATCAGCTTTCCTGTTTAAGTCAAGATTCAGGTTGCTACATTTCCTCTGAGTGGTACAGTCTCATCAAAATATATACCATAATGTAATCAGCGTATGTGTGAATGTGTGTTCCCCACACACACGCATGATTTAAGCCCTGCTTTGAAAAAATGGTCATGGACCTCCTTTCCCCCTAGCAACGCTCCGTCATTCGCACACCCAGTACAGTGCCTTACCGCCGCATCTGGAGATAGAAATAAAACGTCACATTACTACGACCACAGCTGCGTAACCTCCGACAATCATGGTCTACGAAAGCGCGTCGCGAGTATCCGTTCGGTGAAAAGTCAGACTTGCAGTGTCAATGCTGGCCCGATTGGCATGCATCTGCATTAAAGCATCAATCACTCGCACATCGAAATGTGGTCCCGCTTCTGAGTGTATCTGTGCACAGCGTCGGGTTTCAAAACCTCTGCTTTAGCAGTGTGCGCGTGAATCACCTTAATCCATCAAAAATGAGCTTCACTTCCAAATGGATTAAGAATATTCACAAGATGTTTACATTTGGTACAAGTCCTGGCTCCATCTTAGGAAAAAGATCGAAAGCTTCGTACTTATAACTCGTTTCTGACAATTTTGTCATGAACTTATCTCACTTTCATGATGCTCCTGCGCTTCAAATGCATGTAAATCAATGCAGTGAACGCACCTAAAACAACATTGCCCTGCTTCTTTAAAATATGTGCATTAATCAATCCCCTCCACTGTAAAACTTCCGAGCTGAAACAAGCAATTAGCATGCCCACTTTCGTCAGAGTGCACACCGTCTATCAGTCGATGGAATACGTTGAAAGCTTCTCACTGTCCTCACTCTGAACGTAAGCTCCAAGCATAGAAGTAAAAAGTCGATGGAATATGTCGAAAGCCTCTCACTCCTCTCGTCCTGAGCGTTAACCCTCAAGCATAGAAGTAAAAATATGTGCATCTTTCCTAGGGAGGTTGTCAAAAACTCGGCGAGCATCCACTAACCTCTTCAAAGTACATTCTCATGAGGTAGTTTACCACATGAAGAAATACAAATTCCGATCATTTAGTATATGCCCATGAACCTGCACGCCTCCTGCGTGGTCCTTCGTCTTGGAACACGTCTGAAAGATCTCACATTACGCCTCGGGATTCAAAGCTATACATTGTTAATCAGATCTGAACAATCTGTACACCAGGTTCTATGCAGCATTGGAGTAAAACTCTTTGTGCCTATATTTCTTACAAGGACTGGTGCAAACAACGCCCATGGACTATTGGAATCAGCAACCGCAAAATCAAATATCATGTATCAATAGAAAGCTTGCAGCACCTTGAGTGCTAAATTCCAATGAAAAACTTCCATCTTACTTGGCAAAAAGCCACAGGTAACCATCTAAAGCCGCCATAGTTTAATTCAGGGATTAACCGAGGAACCATTCCTAAACGTAAGTCATGGAACCCAATGGTAGCTGCTGGTTTGGTGTGTCAGAACACGGAAGTTTTGGTGATGGGTAATTGCTTCATCACACAAAGATCGCCCCACCACAAGCTCAAGAATGTTACAAGTAGTCTGAGCTTTCATGAGCTTTCTTCCAGAAAGCAAGTACCACTGGCAAGCCCTGTAACCAAAATACCCAGTCTGGCGTCCCTATGTATGTTCAAAATCTAAGACCTGACCAAATCATAGCATAGATGCTTGAGATGCCATCCAAAGAGGAGAGCAAAATGTATGGGCAATGGAGAAGAATAAAGGGGAATGGAGCAGATTGGTCCATCTCCACCTTCTGTTTTACTGTTGTACAGTTCTCTGAGCCTGATAGGAGGAAAAAATTGCACAAATTGTCCGTAAAGATCTACCTGTACAGTTTCTCATGATAAACTCTTACTTGAGATTGGACGCTCTAGCGGAATTCATGGAGATGAGCTTGCTTTCATCCTCCACCTGCTTTTCCTAGACTTACGCCGACTGCCTGTAGTCTTCTTAAGGTAATCTGAATTCTCATCCAAGACATCTTCATTCTTCGTAGCATGTGAGAATTTAACATATTCTCCAAAATTTTCTAATGAGCCTTCTCGCAATCTTTTACCCTCAGCCTGTAGATCTTGCAGTAACATTTCCGTTGTCCGCGTCGTAATTTTTCGAACATAATTCTTAAATGGAGGAGGAGGCACTACAGCAGGTTGCACCACCTGCAATGGAAGCACGACATGAGCTTGATGGTGCATACAGAACCATTTCGATAACATCATGCTAAAAAGCAATATATTTAACTGGTGCAGATCATCTAAAACTACCTGTCCATGCATTGTTCATGCACTGTCAGAAGAGCAGAGTTTTGGATGTCTACAAGCACTTTCACGTGATTCGTAGCATTGGCTCCATCTAAAATGTATAATACCAGCAGATGAGGATTAAAAAGCTACCTGCTGCAAAGTAATAATGGATGCCACTCTGTCTGCTGCGTGTTCTGGAGCGGGAATGCCCTGGGCATCGACATAGAGAGGATCCACTTTCCAAGTACCATCAAACTGTTTCATGAAACCATGCTTTGCGAGCTTGTAATTCATCTGCAAGCTCACAAATCTGCTGTTAATTACACCTTCATATGATATCTGCTTAACCGCTGCTTCACTCTTATAAGAAAAATATGTTGAACCCCTATACAGATGCGAATGAAGTACATTCTTCACCCTACAACCCGCCCATCGCATGATTTCAAAATCTGATTGAAAAAATATATTTACTGCCCTGAATGATTATGAACTCAGGTATGCCATGCTAAGCAAGTGAAAAAATAGATAAATCTGCAAGCCCAACCTCGCTAAGCCATGGAGCTCATATTTGACATAAATTTTCTCTTACCATGTGCAATCGTCGGTCTTGGTCAACTAAAACACAGACGCTCAGTGTTCCAGAAAACCACAAAAACTTCCAGATCGCTGCTTGGTCTACCTCCACCAACTGCCTAAGCCCGTCATCCTTTAGCACTTTGCGAGAAGTTACTGCCTGTGATCATTGAGCTGATATGTCAAATATCGTCTACTACAGGAGAATCCTTACCCAGTCGAAGGAGTGCAGATGTGATCCTTTCCCAACAACTGTAAATTGCTCTATACCATGCACAAGTATATCAGTAATAAAATAGCAACATATTATTTACCTGAATATTTTTAAAAACTCTTTTATTTCCGGGATCTGTCAAAATGTTCCATACTGCGTCAGGAGGAATCCCAATTTTAAATTGAGAATAAACTTCACAAAAGGCTTCCCTTGGGACCTTCACCTGCAGCCAAGCAATAAATTTATTTATTCCCAAGCCAGCGTAGATAATTCTCGCACCCATAGTCCTTTGTCAACCTATATGATCCGATTTCACCCACTGCTAGAAGGACAAACATCGGTTGTCTTGAGCCTTATCTGCTAACAAAATCACTAAGCTACTATCAATGGACAGATTAGTCCTGCTCTTGTCAACACTAGCAGACTTGTTTTTCTTCAGAAGATTCTCATCAACTTAGCTTCACGACTTTTCAAAGCACGTCCTAGTTTAACGTTCGTGTGTAGAGGTCCTGGTGTTTACAGTATAACACGGACACTCTGATAAGTTTAGTAAATCAAGTTTTCCAACACTTACACTTGGCAAGCCTTAAGGAGATATTGAAACGCAAAGTCAAGATGTAAGTGCTGCTCTGAGCATGAGAATGTCGATTCCAAGAAAATAATTCACCTCAATAACAGGCGTCTCATCTACCCATCTGCTATTTCGCCTCCATGCCTCCATTTCTTTTTCCAATGACAGCCGAGCTTTAAGCTTATCCTGGCCTGTTTCATCCTTGGGGTGACGTGCAATCCTATGGCTTCCGTTTTTCAGTTTCATGGGCTGCATACCCTGAGTCCACTTCGATAATGACTGTTGCGCAACCTGGCAGCACATTGTTGTGAAAGAACAGAATTTTGAGCACAATGAGCGTGAGCAGTATTGATGATCAGAAACCATATAATTACGTCAACTAAACAGTGTGATAAATAAGCACGACAGTTTAACAGTTCACTTTCACAATATTCATGTCTTTACCCTAACAGAGCAAGTTTCGCAATAGCATCATTGAGCATGCGCGCAACCAGATTGCAGCTAAACTGGTTTGAACGCAGCTGATTGCAGAAATTTTCGCCGCAACGGTTCAGACGAACGCAAATCACATCCATGAAAATCTGATTCGACTGCATCTAAATCATTTTCAAACATTTCGAGCTCGAGGAATCCCTACAACTTTCACACGCACTTGAGCAAAACAGCAGAGCAGAACGGAGAGGCTATGCAAAATCCCGAAACTGAAGACGACCAATCGATGCAGCATGAAAGATACGCGACAATGGGATTGAAATCGAACTGACATTCATTGCATCATTCCATCTGTTGCCGATCCACTCCGCAACAACCTTAGAGCCTGGAGGCGCATTTTCCATTTCCAGCTTGGTGTAAGGAAGAATTCCCCTCGTCTAACCGTAAACTCCAACGATCAGAATCCCCGTGGATTCTTACGAGACTCTGATCTAGCTACCACAACTACCATAAAAGCAACAATAACAAAAAGCATCCACGCCACTCGTCGTCTCAAAGCAAAAGCCAGCGCCCTCGACACAGAAATGCTTCATCAATTTCTACGGGAATGCTCATCAGCTTGCGATGCCGTCCAAGCGCGCAACAATCGATCGAGAAGTTGACAAACAGTTCGCAAATGGATAGATCCGCATCTCGTGAAGAGCGGGCAGAGCGGAGCAAGATCGAGAGCTTGAGATCTTCGATGGACGATTCTCGTCATCGGATGAATGTGCGGCTTCTTCTGAATAACTCATCGGAAGCTCGTAGATGAATTTATGTGAGTTCACCACAGCTACTGATGGGAAAGCTAGAGGAGATGTTCGATGAATGATTTCATCGTACGCATGACAGCCTGCCTTGGGCCACAATTTCAAATTTCTAAATTACACCATAGAATTTGTAAAAAAAAATGTTAACAAAAAATTTGAAACATAAAAAATATCTTTATCATAAATCAGAATAATGTCATTTTCTATCACAACATGTATAATCTTATTAACTATTATTTATTTTTTAAGTATTATTTTAAAAATACTATAGTATTTAAATTTTAACAAAGAATGCACCATAGTATTATTATTAATAATATGCATTTTAAATTTTTTTTCTAATGATCTAAAAAAAATAATAATAATTTTAGAAAATAAGTGTTGATTATACTAGGTACCTTACAAACTAATAAGAGAGTTGGGATGAGGAATAAAGTAGGAATATTGAAAAAATCAAAACAAAAAGGGGATAAGGGTTAGCCATAAATTTCCTCAAGATGGATGATATCTATTTACTAAATTTAATTCAAAATAAAATTTCATCTTTTCTCAAAAAGTATGGACACTTGATAAAGTTTGGATACACAAGTCTTATTTATATTTATGTTTTAAGGATATATTAGGTTATAATATATATATATATATATATATATATATGTTGTGATAGAAATCCAGCTATGAATAAAATAACATTGTAATATTCATATGAAGAGATAATAAAATATATTATTCATACAAAGTTTAACATTTATATAATAACATATTTTAAATATCCTTCATAAAGGTTTGTATACCAAAGTTGCTTATATCACAATCATATTTTACATTTTAAAAATCAAATTTCATCTAAATAGTGTCTAAGTAATAGTAAGAGTTATGTCAATTCTTGTAGTCCACTCAAAATTTACAATAATTTTTTTAAAATTTGGGATCGTAAGGCTTTCACAAAAAACTTCTATAAAACTTTAGAATATCTTGGTGGTCATTAAAGGCCACACAAGATTTTGGAAAATCACACAACATTTTTGAAACTCTATGTTTGTATAAAATTCTAAATTCTAATAAAATATTAGAGAAGTTTATAAATATCTTTATAAAGTGACACAAACATCCATAATTTTACAAAGTTCTATAAGGTATTCTATATATATATATAGAACATCATTTTTTTTCCTCTAAAGAGATTATGCAATTAAATTTAATAATATATCTTTTTACATCTCTAATAGTATAATATTTTTTGAAAAATTCTTATAATATATTTAGTCCTTTGATTATTATACAATAAATACCTATATTTATTCAATCATTAACAATGGTTGAAATTATTTAGTTTCACTAAACTCATTATAATATTGTTTTCTAAGATCAAGCCTTCAATTGTTTTTCAAAGTTGATATCTTTATCCTAATTTTAACTCTGCAAACTTATACTAGCATAGCTAAAGCTTTGGATCTTCTAGAATAATCTTTGCAATACTTAAATACAGAATCAAAATATTTAATATTAGTTACTTCTAAACATCGTGAGTATTGGTTACCTTAAAAAACGTTTTTCCAACAATTCTTGTAAGTAAGTAAAAGAAAATTACAAAAAGAAATATCTTTTTGAAATAACAAGAATTTATAATCAAAATAGCACAATTTTCATTTCTCTTTCTAAAATGATTTTATGTATTTAATTGAATAAAATTTAAATAATTATTTTTGTATTTTTGATCAAATAATATTTTATTTAATACTAGTTTGTTTCACCATACTTTGTATGATAGTTCAAATCAAGTGCTATACTAAATAATATATTAAATTTTATATATTTATGAGTGCATTATAGCTTTAACTGTGATGTAATATCACTAGTGATGAGGAAATTTCACTTTTAGCATTTTAGTTTCCTATGTCATTCACTTTCTACGACTGTCATTACAAACTCATTTGTTTTGTTTTGTTTTGTTTTTTGAATTACATGGATCAGATGTATATCGTCAAGAGAAGTTACACAATCCTTAACAAAGTCCTTGTGATGCGACAAGTTTATTCAAAAACTAGTATGTAAGTGATGTGGATAGAAAACCAAACAATACACTCATTAGCAACTGAAATTTAAAGCCAAGCCAATTTACTATGTAATACATGTAAATTTTCTGGATTGTATGAATTAGATAGTACAACAAATAAATTATTTTTTTATTTGTGTCGGTATTGAAAATTTCAGGAAATACTCAAAATTTAACTTTTAAATGTTATCGATCATTCTAAAGAGTAAACAGTGCAAACACGAAGTTCAAAAAAATGGTTTGTGAGACCTTCAAATGCATGAACGAATGAATAAATGAATAAATCGGTATCTCTATGTATAATACATGGATATGTTTATGAGTGGATGAACGAATGCATATTAAAATGGATGAATATATGGATGGATGATATTTAATAGTTTTCATTTCCAGCTAGAGGATTTGTAAGCTGCTAACAAGTTGTTAATAGTTAGCATTTTTAACATTCAAATGAACTCCCGCCAACAAATGCTCTAGAGTCGATTGATACCATTGTCACCATTGATATCCGGGAGCGTCGCGAAGGGCCATGAACCGACGACATTTGATTTGAGACCTCGGCTTCTTTACTTGGTGGTTTGTACCTCCATCGAAGCTTTGGACCTCTGTTAGCAGTCTAGCCACAGCAATATTGGTCGTTGCTCTTGCTGCGGCGCGATTACATGCGATGCGTACACGATCTCCATTTACGTATGCACGTTATCGAGACGATTCAATTGAGCTACGATGTGCTGGAATTGGAGTAGTATCGGGGAAGAACGAAACCCTAGGCGGTTCATTTGAATGCGAGGAGGACATTGTTGGTGAATTTCAAATGCGTTACTCGTTGCAGTGTTCCTGCGGCTGCCAATCTTATTGAAATGGAATGACTTCGCTCTGAGAAGTAATTGGAAGGAAGGTTTTTTAAGGTGGAGGATCATCTATCGCCTTCTGTGACGTTTCCTTCTTCTTGGGTACTATGTGATTTATCTTTGCGGAGCCTAGGTGATATTCTTAACGCTCTGAATACTATCGAGATGAGCAGAATGGCCTATGGCGTGCTTTCACAAAAAACTCGTTAACATTATTTTCACGTAAGTTGGTTTGTGACTAGTTAAGTGCCTGAGTTTCGACGACTTTTTCTGCAGGCATTATTGGAGAGCTCAATTTTTGGTTACTGTGGTGCGTCCTTAGGCGTTCAATTTTATTTTCTTATTTTCTTTTTTCTTCCTGGTTTTAATGTTGGTTGAAGACATGAGAATTTAAGGCATGCAAAAGATGGTTGCTGGTTTTATTAGCGAAAATTTACGCAGTTGTAATGTCAGCAATTTCGAGGTCAATGATGCAAAAAATTCTTAGCAAATATTGTGATCATTATCAGGCATAAACAGAAGTGGAGCGGTACACAACATAGAAAGAAATTATCGTTTTTCCTCAAATATTTCTCAAGGTGGTAGGAACGGTTGTTTGTTAAAAATATGGAAGTAGAAGGAACCGTTAGTAAGGTCTCTGATACTAGCACTGTCCCTTCCGCAACATCCCCGGCGCCGAACGGATCGACTCCCGGCACCCCCGAGACATCCAGTACGTTGACTCAGAAGGAAATTCTGCGAGAGCGGTATCTCAAGGGCGTCAAAAAACGGAAATGCGCAGTGTGTGGCAACACCGCAAGAGCCAGGTTATCTAAACCCTGCCTTAGACCTCCACCTCGATACACTTTCTCATGTCTGTTCAAGTATTTCTGCGACTTCACTTTTGATGCCTTAGAGTTTTCCTCTTTTGTCAGAGGTTGTTTTCTACCGAGGATATGCCATCAAAACCAATGATGCAGATAATGACCATGGATCTAAACAGTCTATACCTCCCAATTATTCTGCAGATATTCATCATAGGATAAACATGTGGTGGATTCTCTGTTCGAAACCTGTTGAGGATGTGCGCAGTAGAAAATTTATATAGAGGAACTTTCAACAATATTAACAATATGACCTGAGCTAGAGTAAGTTAAAAGTGCATTGATGCTGTCTTGTTTTGAACTGACTATCTAATTCAGTATCAGGCTGTCTGTCTGTCGATCACTTTGGTAGAGTACTGTCGGGAAATCGGACATTGTGGTATTAGAATGCCATGATTCTTGCAATCAGATGTATGTGTAATTGTTGTATGTGCTTATGGTTCTTGATCCTATTAGTTGTGCTATCAAGTACTGAAAATTAGTTCTCTTCGTTCATGTCGGTATTACTGGTTTAAATTGTTGGGCGAGTATAAGTAGATTAGGGACACGAGATATCGCAATCTTTCCGCAGATTTTATAGAAAGTACAGGTCTACACCACATGGGTTGATATAGCTCAGACTATGTGGTCCTTCTTTGCATACACATAGAAGATACTCGGGATCCTGCGAGTTCTGATCGATTTTTCTAAAGCCTTGTGTTTGCTAACATCCTTGATTGGCGACATGCAGGTGCCCTTTCCGAGCATGCAAGACATGTTGTAATAAAATGAAGAATGTATGCGAAGTTCATGGTTAGTGCCCATCCTTTCAATTTTTATTATCCTATCAGGAAATATGAGTCATTGGGTAAGCTGGTGGACTAGATTGAACTATTTTGTTCTGAGCTCTGTACTCTCTTATTTTTTACTGTAATCCCAAGGTAGGGTACTGGTGGTGACACTTGAACCAAATTGTCTGTGCAGCAAATAAACCTAAGCAGGCTTTGACTCCACCTGCTTTAGATCCTCATGGTCCTCAGTGGACTGGTAATGTGAATGCTATGTAAGCCACTGCAGCTTTTGTATTTTGAAATGCTCCCGAACTTTTAAAGATGGACACATTCATGTCAGTTGATCTTGCAATCGTAGATACTATCGTGGACTTCAGTGCTTAGATTTGCTTCGATTCGTTCTGCTCTGCAGGCCTTACGGGTCCCCATACGTCAAACCTCCGTACATGTCACCAGCTGCTTATAATGCCGCTCAAGCGGGAATTGCTGCTTTTAGAGTCGGCCACTCACCCCCTCAGTCACGACTGTTGGCTCCTGGACAATACACAGCACAGAATGCCCGTCCTTACATGGCTTCTCAGAGCACTTTAGAGCAGCAAGAGCTCCAAAGACTGAAAAATTTGAAAACAGCTATACTAGCAGCAAATCGGGTAATGAGCATGACCTATATTCATTCTCTTTCTGTCTGTCTGTCTATCTTTCTTTCTTTCTTCTTCTTCTGCCTTCCTCATCCCCCACCCCTTTTTTTTTCTGGTATTTCGCCAGCTAAGTTACACGTGCAGTTAATCATCAACGATGTCTGTCAACCTGAAAAAGCCGTGCACTTTTTTCTGGTCAGGAAGCGCAAATCACCAACACCTGGAGGACGCAAAAAATGAGGGAATTTTTGGATGGTGAACTTTTGTCTGAAGATGAGGCATTTGATCGATACATGTTTAATATGGCACTTCTTGAGGAAGTTTTTCTTCCCAAAACAACAGCACCAACAGGGCTATCCCCACATGGAGAGCTCTTGGTTGGAGGATGCGAAGCATTAAATGACGAAAAGGATGTTTCTGATACTTTGATGGTTGTGGATGGGTTGCGTTTACAGAGGGGAATGAATGCAACTAGGAAAGAGGAAAGTCGATCTCGTTTGAAAGTTATTATTGATAGAAGTTTACAGGCGCTCAAGAGAGGGCAACAAGAAGCGGATGATTTTGCAGAGGAAGAAGATTGCATGCAGGTGAGATTTCATAATGACCACAATAAGAGGATTTACTTCATTATTGAATGCCTTTTACACGAAAGACTATGTATCTCTAGTTGAGGACTAAATTGAAATATTTATACGAACACATCGTTGGGAGGAGTGATAATATAACCTTGCGTTTGTTGAACGTTCATTTCTTTTTGTTGTAGTCACATTGATGTTGATTAATTACACTGTGGTGTTCACAGAGATTGCTATACGGACGTCGAAGAGACTTAAAGCGATTCAAGGCAACCACTAAGAAGGGAAAGGATTGTCTTAAACGAATCGACCTGTTTGATTCATTACTTCAGAAAACCAGCCAAATACACAGTAGAGCTGATATAGAATCTTGTGGGGAAATGTATAGACAGAACTTTGGGCGGGGTCTTGATGTACTTCTACCTCATCTCTCGAGAAATATTCAGAATCTACTCGGTGGTCAGATCCGTGACGCCAGTGGAGTAACAGCAACTCTTTCAGTGGCACCAAATAGAGGAGACATCTCCAAGGAAACATCAACGTCAATGGACTCTCAAGCAATCCCCTCTGCAGACGAATGTGGAGATGATGGAAAAGCTGAGTTGCAAAACTTAGGAAAACCCGTTCTAGAAGTCGAGGTCAGAGGTGTTAAAGAGCAGAATTCGTACAGAATTCAAGAGAGAAGTAGTCTTCAAACCAATTGGAAAGGAGTGAACGCAGATGCAAGTAGTAGCACATCAAAAGCTGAAGAGTGGCCTAGATTACATCAAGGCTTTCTTGCTGGTCATGGGTGGTGGAAAGTAGAGGTGGATGAGCAGAGTGCCCAGAAAATCTGTCAATATCTAATTTCAAACCAAGCTGTAGAGGCTTTGTGAATTTCGGTAAATGCACCTGGCTTAACCATTTCAAACAGTCTCAAAGTGGACACCATCTTCCATATATTCTGATGTTGGTATACTGGACATGGAAGAAGAGCCCTGGGTAGTACAAACTATATCTGCTAATGCCATAATAGTACAAATCGCTATGATTGACAAAGTTGGTAGTCAGATATATAGGAATGTCTGATCTTTAAAGTTGATGCAAACACCTGCAATGCCCTGTGTCGTTATGGTACGAGCTGCTGTCATTTCCATTCATGGTGAAGGTTAGTTATGCAGGAATGCCTGATCAATGAAGCCGATCCAACTCTCTGCAGTACCCTTGTACCGTACGTCAACTTTGAAGTGCTCGATATTTGTGATTGGAGATTGTCCATCGGACTGTAATGCAGCCAAAAATAGATGATCAGCTGTGGTTGAATGGAGAATGGCGTCAGATGTCAGAGTTGCAAATATGCATATATTCACACATCAATTTGTGCTCCCTGGTTTCTCGAAGGAAGAGTGGGGGCTTCGGAACTGCCATTATTTCCGCGTGCACAATCGGCTATTGTATTAACGGAAAGAATTCCATTGCAGATCTGTTTAAGATATGTCAGGTCCAGTATTGCCTACTTCGTCTCTTGCAGGGTTTTTGTCATCTTTTACTGACTAGGGGGAAGACGTGTACGTGTTGCTTTTCTCTCATTTGCATAGTTTTTCTATAGACAACGGAGAATTTCCGCTATCATGACAGCTTTTGCTCACTTCAGCGTCTGCTCAAGTGGTGCTTGTCAACCATTTTATTTCTCAAGCTCATAGTGCAGAATAATTCGCAAGCACTCATTTCGGTCGTCTTACAGTAATTGGAATCATTCCAGTAGAGTGGAGCGTTGCACGAACCGCATAGCCTAATCCAGAGTCAAATCCTGGTCTATATGTACTATTTGCAAACTTTAGACCAATTGATATTACGGACAAAAAACTACACGTGCACACATAGACACATCCACGGAGTCGCTCAGAAGATGGCATTGATACTTTCCATTGTTAAAATCAACGCACATCACGGATGTGCTAGAAGCTTTAAACAAAAATTGGAGGTTCATGCAGCTCATTGAGACGCTACACTTAAACTAATCTCAAAATCTGTCACCCCGTTATCATGCTATAATTCTAAAGAGGCCCCTTCCACACAGAGCACAAGCGCCTGATCTCTGGCATAGTTAATGCCCATGGCTCTGTTCCAGCTCAAATGTGAACGACGACTACAATGTGGCAAGTATCTTGCCTCAGTTGCAGTGCTCCATTTCTAAACCAACTCTAATTTCATCGTCAGTAAGGTGGAGACTCACTGCCTCCTTGTTATATACCTAAATTCACGTTTGAATTCAGTATCAAAATTTTTAGTGCGATCAGTTGCCCTAAAAGTGAGAGAAGCTAACCTATGAGTGACAAACGGTTGATGAATCCTCGTTCAAATCTCAATTCGTATGGTGAACAAAGGGTAGAACCACAAAAGCGCCCACTCCTGTGAACATGACGAATGTGGAGAGAGCGTACATGGAGATCTCCCACTTGAAAGATAGAGGATCCTCAGGAGACAGGGACAAAAATCTCACCAGTGCAGCGGTCCACATGCCCAGCAGCAACAAGAAAGAGTAAGGGCCGTGGACGTACATGAAATGGAAGTAGGGGGGCACAATGAAGCTAATAGTGTATATGATGTATCCGCAGATCATGACCGTCATGATGAGGGCCAGCACGGCCAGGAGCATGTGGAACAGTACTGAGCCAGCTTTCTTCACCAAATGATGCTCCGAGGCATCTTCCAACCGCTGCTTCACGAAATCGAATGTTGTCATAGTAAATGAAGAAAGGAAGCGAACCGAGCAATTTCTGGAGTTGGGTCCGCAAAAATAAACAACGGCGATGAAGGTTCTCAGTGTCTCCTCGACATTCCAATTGATAAGTGTGCTAACCTACAACTCGGCTCCAAGAATCAAGCATGAATTGGAGAGTGCTTCCCAATTTAAAAAATCCAAAGCAAGATATCCCCGCCAAAACGAACAACCTCTTCAGAAAAAATCTTTCAATAAACTAGATCTCGAAAAATTGCAGAGATCAACTGGTATAGGTTCGAGGATTTCTAGGGGCCATCTAAAACCGATCCCAAGTATTTCCAAATCTCAATGAAAGCAGCAATATCTGTCCAGCCTCTTCTATTACTGAAAAAAATAGACACAATATCACCGAGACGAGCCCCTCACTACACAAACTCACACGAGCACACAATGCGCATAAAGCACTAAACTAATAACCATGTAAGCTCTAGAAGCAAATTTCCAGAAAGATTCTCTACTCCGACTAGAAAGACCCTGAGTGGCTAGTCCTGGAACCTGGGCGATCACTCACCCAACAGACCGATTGACTGCAAACACACCAAACACATGAAAATCCCCCACCCACAACGCCGCCACACGAGCAGCGTGAGCCAAGCAATGAGGCTGGCTGGCTACTTCCACCAATGCAAAAGAGTGGACAAGACAGGCTGGCAGATCTGACGAAGAGGGTAGGGGAAAGTAAGAATTGCAGGCGGGAAATTGAACATCCCCCTGCCGCTATGAATATGCTGGTAAGAGCGAACGAGAGAGAGAGAGAGAGAGAGAGAGCTCGAGAGGTAGTCACGATTTCAGAGAGCTCGTGAGGTAGTAGTCGCAACAACTTGAAGATTCAACGCCACGGGTTGCAACAATTTGATGAGCGCGCGGGGGAGGCGATGCACAGGGGGAGAGAGAGTCGCAATGAGTGCTTGAGTGCTCGTGCTCGCCCTCCTGACAAGGGGGTTGAATGATTGGAAATATTCATCCGAAATCATTGGATGACGCTCGGCCACATCCAACCCTGCTCGGTCTTGGGGTGGGTCCGGGAATAAGCCCCTCCCCTCCCCCCTTCTCTATAATGAATGTGGGAATGCTGCCCCATCACTGTAGAGCTCTCCTATCATGCCCCCCCCCTCGGTAGGTGGCATATCTTTATTTTACTCATTCTGCTACTTCTTCTTCTTCCATTAACATTCAATGATGAAGAGAAGGTCAACTTTTTGATACATGGGTTGGTTGTATCTCATGGTCTTTAGTGATGGGTGCCTACTTGAGAATTGCTGTTGTCCTCTCCAGTACAAATCTGCACATTTAAACATACATGCAAGGGTAAGGTGTTGCATTAATTTAACCTAGTTTTTTTTTTTTTTTTTTTTTTTTTTTGGGGGGGGGGTCTGCTGTTTTCTTAATTTTCCATTCACACAAGAAATTGTAAAATGTAAAATGTAAAACTTGGATAGTGAAAGATTGTCTTTGGTGGATAGTGTTGAGATTCTAAAGATTGTCTGCCCCAAACCAGAAAGAAACTTACCATCTTGTAAGCAACTATTGCTTTTACTTTTACATCTTTCTCTTTTTATGTTTATTATATATATATATATATAATCAATCACACACTCACATAAGTACATGTACATATTACTGTTTTAAAGCCTGGTAGAAGTACTCCAGAATTATATACATACTAAAGCAACCCATGTAAATGGCAAGATTCATAAAAGTCTTTGGTGCAATATTTTATGAGTATTGGATCTCATCTGATTGTTTGTTTGTTTGTTTTCTTTTGGTAATCCCCCAAAATCCAGGGTCATCTTTCTGGAGCTCCAAACCAGTCCTCCCGAATGGCACCAGTCTATTCTTTCCCATACTCATCATGCACATGTCTTGACTTAAGTTGAAACGAAGGATGGAGCACAGTTTGACATAGGAACCTCATGTGTGCTGAGGCCTTCCTCTTTTGTCATTCCCACAAACAGGAAGACACAAAGTCTAAAATGATGATATGGCAGTGTATTTTGTCCACTTGTGCATATTATTCAACAATGGTGGTGGGGTACTCTCTCATTCATTCTGCAGAGACAATGCCACTCTGGATTACCTATGTATGACTCTCTTCTGAACAGCACCTAAACAGCATGATTCCTTCACAACCCATATTGTTCCCAAGTTTAGAACGTTTTAAAGCTAAAGGCTTGGATTACTGTATGCATGCTCTTTTCCTTTTTAGAAAGTTATGAGTTAATGTGTTATATAAATTAGTATTTGATTTGGTGGCAAACTGTGTTACAGCTGGCTTGTGTGTTCATGGTTTTAGAAATCAGTGAGACTTACCAATTGCACTGAAACAGGGTGAACTTTTTCCTTTGTGACATATTACAGTTTTGAATTGTATCAATGAAAGGTGGATACAAAAAACAAATGAATAAAAAGCATGTGGGATATTTTATCTTCAAAAACTTAATCCATGCTGAAGTTTTGTTTATTTTTTATTGTTTACATTATTCTTTTTTTATTTTGTTTACTTGTTAATGTTATGCACATACTCATCATGTACATACTTCATTGTGTGGGGAAAAAAATAAAAAAATAAAAAAAAATCATTTAATGGAATACCAAAGATGCCACAAACTTGTGGTTGAGTCCTTTCACAACAATGTGACAAATGATGATAGAAATGGATTTTTGTCAACCATCTTCCCTTCTGTCCATGACAATGTCAAGTGATATTTTACAATACCATATCATATTGGTGATACTTGAATTATCTATTACATGTTGCATGCACAAAAAGTGTGTTGTTTCTACACCACATTTTGTGGTCACCTTTGCATTGTTAGAATGTCATACACAAGTCTTTTTGAAAGTATCCTGACAATGTGGAAGTAAGACACACCTTGCAATGCTGCTTGCAACTTTGGAAAGTGTTAGAGGTAGATAGTTATTAAGATTATATAGCATACATTTTTATTTGGTGTCTATTATATTTTTTAAAGACTCGGGAATTTACATATAATTTATTGAAGTGGGCAACAAGGAGAATCTACAATAGATGAATATAGTTTTTGTAATTTAATGGCTTAAATCATATTTAAATTATATTTTTAAAATACTTAAATCTAAGTTATAATCAATCCATTAAAAATTTAAGAAACATAATACAAAATTTATACATTTTTTTCTTTGTACTTACATGTTTTT